CCCCAAAACCCCAAAACCCCAAAACCCCAAAACCCCAAAACCCCAAAACCCCAAAACCCCGACTCAGAGAATCCATATTGAAACCTACTTGTTTATTACTAGAACTTTATATAATGTTACAAGTCTGAAAATCAGTAATTAAGGCTTCTCTTAGGACAATGGGGTTAACTATTGTTAGAATTAAGAAGCCTATGTTAATGATCACATAATAGGGGAGCTCAACACAGAATGAAGTGTATTTCTATACCATAAGGAACCTCACAAAACTCGAGGAATTTAGCTGCAAATACTTCTTAAAAATTTGTAATTATTTTATTCGATGATATGACTTAAAACAGTTTTAAATTTTTCCAATTTTTCAGCTTCTTTGAATTTTTGGGATTTTTAGGAAATTTTGTAAGTTTAGACCTCTTCACTTTCACCTTAGTCGGAGTCTTATGAACAACTTTTGAAGATGATGTCACAGGGAGAGAGACATTCAAGGATTCGGAGTTCAGATTAGTGCTCTCATCATCTTTAATCTTGAGGTTTACTATCTGATTTACACTTCTCACTGGAGTTTCACAACTGTTGTTTAGATATAATTCTTTTCTTTTCGCAACTCTTTCACGATACTTTTTAACAGTCTCAACAAAATTATTAAGCTCCTCTTTGTTGATCATCTTGATTCTTCTGTTGGGGTCCTAAAATAAAGGAGGAAGGTTACATCAATGTTGAGAAAACGGTTTTTATACTTCTTCTTTAAGCCTATAGAATTGCTTGGAAGCTTACCTTCCTGTTCATAATCCACTGAATACAACTTCTCCATGATATTAGACGTAAATATTGTCGAAGAAGTGTCAAATTTGTGTGAATTCTTCCTATCAGTGCTACTATTTGTCGAGGTTAAGTCTCCAAGCTTAGTAGAAGCTTTCCTAGAAATTAACAATCTATGAGTTACCTCTCTCTTGACACACTAAGGTTGGCTGGTTTTCTTCTGGCAGGCTGGGTACGGATCTTCTTGACTAAATCTATTTTGGGAGAATAAGTCCCTCCTTGCTTTATTATCATCTAAACAATCATGCAATGCACTTGCATTAGAATCAGGGTTCTTGATGATATTTCTAGTATTCTTAGTCTGGGATCCAAGGTGGTACAACTTCCTTGATTTCGACGGAGTCCTATTCTCTCTGATAACAGACCTCTTCGACTCTCTTGAAGAGTCTGAATTGACAATTTTCACATTGAACTGATTTATTTGATATAAGTTGTTGTTACAAGTGATGTCGATCTAATAGTATGATGACGTTATGCCAATAGTATAGAAAAGGAGTAATTATATAAAAGTGCTACAGGTTCCCAATTCTTACCTTATTCTGAGAATTAGATACCTGAGCCTTAGGCTTTCTTTTGATCCCTATATTGGGAAAATTGGTATGAGATTTAATATTGAATGAGCATTGTACTCTCTTCTTTGATAAAGGAATAATATAGCAGAGCATATCCTTGTTAGAGCGCAGTTTTGTGATTTTAGCTTACTTCTGAACTTTCTCTCTGAATATTTTTGTGTCTTCTTGCTCCTTTCATAAATGGCTGGGAAGTTATCCTCAGCTTCGTCTGAATTTGTAACTTTAGGAACAATGGCTCTTTTTTTAGAGCTTGTTCTGCTAAATTTAGGGTAAATTTTTATGTTTATTCAATCAGAAGACCAGTTTCTTATACCTTCTGTTCTTCACAAGGGGCTTCTTAGCATCAAGGGACTGCATTGAGGAGTTTCTTAAACGATTCTTCCGTAGAATTTTAGACCTCGAAGAAAGCTTAACTGACATTTTAGGAATAATTTCTAATCAAGGATCATTCGGCTTGGATAACTCTATAAAAATTCCTGGTAATTATGATCATTGATTATCTTTAACTAATCTAGATGAATCTTACTGGAAGAATCCCGCTCTACTGAGCCACCTTTGGTTGTATTATTCTTTAGAGTAGTAACTTTAAGGGGAGACCTTCTACTAGGTTTCTCGACCACTTTCATTTGTGCTAGGTAGGGCTTAACAACTCTTCTAGCATTTTCTTCATACTTATTTGCTCTCTTCCTTTGAGAAATGGCGTTCTTCGCTAAAGCTTAACAGGGAGGAGAATACCAGAGATCTTTGATTGATTTCCACACTAAATCAGATAATCTCTTCCGGCGGGTCTCAATGCTAATGGGCATAATCCTTATTAATTCAATAAACAATCGTAATTTTGGGGTTTTGGGGTTTTGGGGTTTTGGGGTTTTGGGGTTTTGGGG